CCTGCGGCCCGGCGTGGGCCGCTCTGTGCGGCTTTTTACTCCGTGCTGGGTCGGGCCCGGGGACGGGCTCAGTTTTTAAATTAAAGTCGTCATGACGTTCCTGACGTGTGTCCGGGGAAGCTCTGGGGCGTGCGCGGGTGGCCGCTCCTTCCAGGGCTGCCGGGCTCCTCGCGCCCTCTCCCCAGACCGCACCCAGCCCGGCCGGCCGTGAGCCTGGCAGAAGCCACCTCCCGGTGTGCAGAGAAGAGGAGGGGCGCTTCTGCAGATTCCGGAAGCGTGAGCTGCCTGCGTCCCCCCGGGTGACCAGCCTCTGTGTCCTCCTGACCCCGGCACCTTCCGTCCGCTGGTCCCTCCTTCCCCGCCTCCTCCTCGAGACACTCTTGCGCCAGCTGACTGACTTGGCGCCTCTGAGGCCTCCTGGGCGTTGGAGGCGACAAGGCGCCGGAGACTGGTGTGCGGCGCAGCAGGGGGGGCTGCGCGGAGGGCGAGAGGAGCCCGCCGGGCGCCCACCAGCTCCTCCCCTGTGGCCACGCCTCCGCGTCCTCCCTCCTGGGGGCCCAAGCCTGGGGGTGGGGGCAGTGGCCCGCTCCAGTCCTTGGCTCAAGAGTGAGCCCCATCACAAAGCCCTCCTGGGGCTGCGCGCCTCATCCAGGAGAAAAGCCAAAACTGCCCGGTGTGGTGGCTCGTGCCTGTCATGCCAGCACTTCAGGAGGCCGAGGGGAGAGGATTGCCTGAGCCCAGGGGCTCAGGACCAGCTGGGCAAGATGGCGAGACCTTGTCTCGACGATAAGTGGAAACAATTAGCCGGGCACGGTCATGCATGCCTGTGGTTCCAGCTACTTCCAGAATCTACTTGGAAGGCTGAGGTGGAAGGAAGGATCGCCTGAGCCCAGCAGGTCAAGGCTGCGGTGGCCCTGAGTGTGCCACTGCACTCCAGCCTGGGTGGCAGACGAGACTCTGATTCACACAAAAAAACAAAAGTTAGCATAGCACAAGTGCCTCTGGGACCCCCCTCGCCTTCCCTGGCCATGCTCACACCAGGCCTGTCTTGCCACAGGCTCCCCTGCCTCTGCTGGGGTCCCCCCGCCTGGCTGCCAGTGACCTCAACGCGCTCCACGCCTTCCTGGTTTCTCCATCACTTTTTCTTTTTGAGTTGGAGTCTCACTGTCACCCAGGCTAGAGGGCAGTGGCACGCTCCCAGCCACCGCAGCCTCAACCTTCTGGGTTCAGGCGATCCTTCCGCCTCAGTCTTCCAAGTAGCTGGAACTACAGACGTGCGCCACGCCCGGCTAATTTTTCTGATTTATTGTAGAGACAAGGTCTCACCAAGTTGTCCAGGCTGATCTTGAACCTGTGGGCTCAGGCAGTCCTCTCATCTCAGCCTCCCAAAGTGCTGGGATTATAGGCATGAGCCACCGTGCCCGACCCCTCCCATCACTTCTTAAAGGTCTGGTGGGTACCTTAAGACTTCCTCAGCTTTCTCTAAAAATAGCACCTCTATCGCCTATCCTGTTAATTTTTTCATATTTCTTACCACCCTGTGACCTACATATATGTGCTTATTCTGTATCCTCTGCCGAAGTACAAGCTCCATGGGTTTTGTCCATATGGATTCACCGTTGCACCCTCACACCCACACACCTGGCACTGGCAGGCTTCAAAAGATGTTTGCTCAGCCAGGCACAGTGGCTCATGCCTGTAATCCCGCACTTTGGGAGGCTGAGGCGGGAGGAATACCTGAGTCCAGGAGTCCCAGACCAGCCTGGGCAACATGACGAGAATTTGTCTCTACAAAAAAAAAAAAAAAAAAGATTAGGTGTGGTGATGCAGGTCTGCAGTCCCAGCTACTCGGGAAGCTGAAGCAGAAGCATCACCTGAGCCCAGGAGTTTGAGGTTGCTGTGAGCCGTAACGGTGACACTGCACTCCAGCCTAGGTGACAGCGTGACACCCCAACTCAAAAAAAAAAAGATGTTTGCTGATCGCATGGGCTCATGGAATGGGTGGGTGGGGAGCCCATCACCCAGCTGAGACCCTCCAACGGGGGGGTCCTCGTCGGGCCCTTGGATACACACGTGCTTCTCGGGACATGCTTCTCCCTCGGGGGCTGTGAAGAGATTATGGGCTTGGGAACTGGACCCCCGCTCTGCCACTCACGACAGGGCCTTGGTGTCCCTCGCCTCTCCAAGCTCCCGTTTGGTGTCTGTGAAATTGGTGTTGCCAAGATCTATTTCAAGGGATTATAAACAAGCTATTTTGGGTCCAGGGTGGTAATACAGATTGTGCTGTGCTGCTTCTCACAGAAGTCTGACTCCAGCGGCTTGACCAAGCAGGGGTTTTTTTTTTGAGAAGTAGGAAGGCATGTCAGGGCTGGGGAAGCCACTCGAGGACATCCTGGGGGCTCCGGGCGCTCACTTCACCCTTCTGCGTGTGTCAGTTGCAAGATGGCAGTTATACCTTCAGGTCTCTCACCTACACTCCAGGGAGGCAGGAGGGAGGAGCCAAGAGCGAAGTGTGTGAACTTGGCGCCCGGTAAAGAACTTTCCATGGCCAGGCGCAGTGGCTCACGCCTGTAACCCCTGCACTTTGGGAGGCTGAGGTAGGAGGATTGCTTGAGCCCAGGGGTTCAAGACTAGCCTGGGCAACACAGCAAGACTTCATATCTACAAAATAATAAAAATTAGCCGGGTGTGGTGGCATGCACCTGTAGTCTCAGCTGCTGGGGGGTGGGCTGAGGTGGAAGGATCGCCTGAGTCCAGGAGGTCAAGGTTGCAGTGAGCTGTAGACATGCCATTCCACTCCAGTCTGGGCAACAGAGTGAGACCCAACTCAAAAATAGATCTAAAAAATAAAGAACTTTCCCTAAAGTCCCCCCTTCTGACCTCCATTTCTGTCTGGCTGATTACAGCAGGGTCACATAGGCTTCTCTAATGACAAGGAGGCAGGGACTAGCACACTGTTGCTTAGACACAATTAGGGCTCTATTTGTGAGGCAGGGTAGGGCGCCTTACAGTCCTCCGTGCCAGGGACCCAGAAAGCACTTAGTTGTGGTTAATCTTAGAGTGCTCTGAGGAGGAGGTCAGGTCCTGGCCTTCCAAAGCACCTTGTCTGATTGTCATCAGCACTGCTGGGTGGGGTGACAGTCCTGCTACCTTATCTTTGCACAGTGGTTAGCATTTTCCAAGGCATTTAGAAACAGGCATCATTCATTCATACTTGGTTAGAGCCTCCCAAAGCCCTCAGTGGAGAGGAACACTTCTTATCTTCCACTTTCTTCTTTTTGGGGGGTGGGAGGGTTCAGTGTCTCATTGTTTCCCAGGCTGGAGTGCAGTGGCACACTAATGGCCACCACAGCCTCGACCTGCTGGGCTCAGGCCATCCTTCCACCCCAGCCTTCCAAGTAGCTGGAACTGCAGGCACGTGCCACCACGCCCGGCTAATTCTTTGATTTATTGTAGAGATGAAGTCTCGCCAAATTGCCCAGTCTGGTCTCAAACCCCTGGGCTCAGGCAACCCTCTCGCCTCAGCTTCCCAAAGTGCTGGGATTACAGGAGTGAGCCACTGCACCCGGCTATCTGCCATTTTCACAAATGAGGACACAAAGGCAGAGACCAGCCATTCTCTCATTTCAAAACGACTGAAGGGACCAGCCTGGGCAATGTAATGAGACCTTGTCTCTACGTTAAATAAAAAAAAAATAGCTGGGCATGGTGGCATATGTCTGCAGTCCCAGCTATTTGGAAGGCTGAGGATTGCTTGAGCTATGGAGGTCCAGGCTACGGTGAGCTAAGATCATGCCACTGCACCACAGTCTGAGCCACAGAGTGAGACCCTGATTCAAACACAAAACAAAACACACCAGGCGCAGTGGCTCACACCTGCAATCTCAGAACTTTGGGAGGCCATGGAGAGAGGATTGCCTGAGCCCGGGAGTGGGGGTAGGGGTCCGAGATCAGCTCAGGCAACTTGGGAAGACCTGTTCTCTATAGTAAATTAAAAAATTAGCCAAGTGTGGTGGTGTGTGCCTGTGTTTCCGGCTACTTGGAAGGCTGAGGCAGAAGGATCTCCTGAGCCCAGCATGTCGAGGCTGCGGTGACCATGGTGTGCCACTGCCCTCCATCCTGGGCGACAGAGTGAGACTCTAACTCATTAAAAAAAGAAAAAGCTGGGCTCAGTGGCTCAACCTGTAATCCTGTGCCTTGGGAGGCTGAGGGAGAAAAAACAGCCCGCTGAAGGTCTACCAGGTGCCACACACCATTCCCAGCACCATAGCAGTGACCAGTCATTGGCAACAAGACCCGCCCTTGTGGTGGTCTTTTAGTGATGACGTGTCCACAGTCACAGTGAGTGGAGGGGCCGAGGCTAGAGGCGGGACGTCTCACTCTGAGGCCAAGGGCTCCCCACCCCTAGCGAGACCTCACCGTTCTGGGGATGCCGCCGGGCGC